TTGTTTTCGTTGTCCCAAATGCGGTAGCCGAACTCATCTTCACCATAGCCGATGAAAGTGCATTTCTTTGACTTGGGATCAAGCTTATTCCTGCCTTGATCACTAATATGCACGTAAGCTACACAACCGAAAACTTTTAGATGTGAGAGTTTTACCTCCTTTCCGCACCATACCTCCTCTGGTATTCTGTGCTCCAATGGAACCGATGGACCTCGGTTGATCAAGTAAGCTGCTGTGTTGACCGCTTCTGGCCAGAACTGCTTCGGTAGGCCTGACTGTACCCGAATGCTTCTGGCTCTCTCTGTCAATGTTCGGTTCATCCGCTCAGCTACACCATTTTGCTGAGGCGTGTCGGCACGGTTCTCTCCATTCTGATCCTGTGCTCATAGCAGAACTTCTTGAATCCGGTGTCTTCATACTCACCACCATTGTTGGTCCTGAGCTTCTTTATTCTCAGACCGGTCTCATTCTCGACCATAGCTTTCCATCTCCTGAAAGCCTCAAATACTTCTGACTTATGCTTCAGAAAGTAGACCCACACTTTCCGAGAGTGATCATCGATAAAAGTCACGAAGTAGTGTTTCCCACCAATCGACGCAGTGGTGGTTGGTCCCCAAACATCTGAGTGAACGAGCTCTAGCTTCTGCTTCCTGGGGGTTCTGCCACTTGTCTGAAAGCTGACTCTCTTCTGCTTTCCAAGTATACATTCTTCACACATATCCATCTCCACTGATTGCAGTCCTGGGAGTTTTCCCTTCGTGTGCATGATTTTCATCCCCTTTTCACTCATATGACCGAGTCTCTGGTGCCACAACTTTGAAGTCTCATTACCTGCTGCAACTGAGATCAAACAACGTGCACCTGCTGTCATATACAGGGTACCAGTCTTCTTGTCTCGGGCAATTATCATTGCGCTCTTTGAGATCTTCCAATCATCTCCATGGAAGGTCGTGGTATATCCTTCGCCAGCCAACTGGCCTACGGATATTAAATTCTTTCTCAGGTCGGGAATATGTCTGACATCCTTCAGCTCCCATACTGACCCGTTCAACTTAATTTTTACCACGCATTTGCCCACAATAGCACATGGTTGATCATCACCAAGATATATGTATCCAAGATTTCCAGGGTTATACTTCTCGAAGAATTCTTTCTGAGAGGTAGCATGGAACGACGCTCCTGAATCTAACACCCAAGATTCCTCTTTGCTCTCCAAAGAGCATATTAATGCGTCGTCTCCTCCTGAGGTGGAGGTGACATTCACCTCTGCCTTCGCCTCCTTCTCCTTCTGTGCACTCTTGCACTGATTCTTGTAATGCCCGGTCTTTCCACAATTCCAACACTCGATAGCCTTCGAGCTGTTGCTTGGATTCCTTGATTTGGACCTCCTGTCCTTTGATCTACCTCTGAAGTTTGATTTGCCTCGTCCGTTCCCTCTGGTTGAATTTCTACCTCTTGACTCTGTATGCAATACTGAAGATGTTGTAGCTTCACCCGTCTCTCTCCGTCGGATCTCCTCACTGAGAACCAGATCACGAACGTCGTCGAACTTTAACTTTTTGTTTCCCGACGAGCTACTCACTGCTGTGACTGTAGCGTTCCAACTCTCTGGTAGGGAAGACAAAAGTATCAACGCCCAAACTTCCTCATCAAACTCAATCTCAACTGAACTCAATTGGGTTGTAACCGTATTAAGTTCATTGAGGTGTTGCTACTGACGCGCCTTCTGCCATTTTCAGATTGAATAACCACCGCATCAAATGAACTTTGTTCGCGGCTGATGGCTTCTCATACATGTTTGAGAGTGCTGCCATAAGACCCGCCGTGGTCTTCTCCTTCGCTATGTTGAACGCAACATTGCGAGTCAACGTCAATCTGATAACTCCGAGGGCTTGTCTATCTAGAAGGTTCCACTCATATGTCTTCATAGAATCTGGCTTCTTCCCCGATAGTGGTTAATACAGATTTTCTGATACAGATAATCCTCTATCTGCATTTTCCAGAATCCGAAATCTGTTCCATCAAATTTCTCAAGTCTTATTTTTCCTTCATCTGTGACCATGACTCCCACTTGAATCTGACTTCCTCTAGATTGTTTCACGCTCTGATACCAGTTGTTGGGAATTTAACGCCGAAATCCCTAATGCAACAGAAACGCAGAATAGAGAAAAGTACACAAGATTTACGAGGTTCGGCAACTGCCTACGTCCTCGGGAGCCACACAGTCAATTTCTTATTAATCAAACAAGAAATTACAAATCAAGAGCAAATCCCAAAACTGAGATTTCTCAGAATGAACACTGTAGCTACAATGTTAATAATTAAAGGGAATAAACCCCTTTCAAATCTCACTCACTCTTCTTAAATCTCCCCTCAGGATCCCTCTTCTTAAATCTCCCCTCAGGATCTCAAATCCCAAGTGCTGGAGAAAGAAAAGAACGCTGCTGCGTTTTCTTTGTCCGCCGCCAAAGAAGAAAATCAAATCCCAAGTGCTGGAGAAAGAAAAGAACGCTGCTGCGTTTTCTTTGTCCGCCGCCAAAGAAGAAAATTGAAGGGGGGAAAAGCCAACGAACCCTAGGGCATCGGGGTTTGCTTTTATAGGCGAAATCGATGGGCTGGCGACAGCTTGTCACCAGCGCACAAGCTGGACGTGAAGGTCGGAGTGCTGAGACGCGAGCGTCGGAGTCGTCAAAACGCGGAGGTCGGCATCGCCCAAACGCGAGGGTCGAACCGCCGAAACGCCGAGGTCAGGTGGGCGTTCGAACGTAGGGCTCGATCTCGCCTGCGACTATCGAAGCTCGTCTAGCCTCGCCGTCGACCTCATCGCCTGAGTCGACGTCCATGCTCGCCTGCGTCATCCCTCGAGCTCGCCGGAGCTCCTCGCCTGCGGAGGTTGGTGTCCACCCCCAAACTAACAATATATATATGAGAAAAATGGAGAAACTTGGTACCAAGTTGCTCCAAACAACTTGGTAGTGATGTGGCCTAATCTTGTCCCTACATCTACATTAGAGTTGGTGAAGGGTGGTTGAGGCTCTATTTTCGATGTGTGATGTAGGGGCAAGATTAGGCCACATCACTACCAAGGTGCTTTAAGCAACTTGGTACTAAGGTTCTCCATCATCTTAATAAAAAAAACTCATGAATTATAAACAGTGGCGGAGCTTGAAAAAATAATTTGGGGGGGCGAAGTTACATAATAAACTCATAAATACTTAATTCATTCAAAATAATCACCAATTCAATGTTATATAAACATCTAAAACTTTGCACGCCGAGTTTTCATCTTCTTAAAATAATCAATCACAGAATCAGTATCAATTTCTTGAACAATCTCTTTCTCGATATACATAACTAAATTATCTGCTAAGAATGTGTCTTACATCTTGTTGTGGAGCCTTGTTTTTACAATTTTCATGGCAGAAAATGCTCGCTCGGTAGTAGCTGTAGACACCGGAAGAGTTAGAACAAGGCGAATTAAGCGGTCAACAAGAAAATATTCACTTTTCTTTTCAGTTTCAGCCAGTGCCACACATAACTCGGAAATAATTGAAAGACTTCTCAATTTTGGATCATTGCGAGCGTCGAGGACAAAATGTTCCAGTTAAAACTTCAAAATGAGCTTATCTTGACCATCAAAATCAGCAGGATAATATTTGTCAACAAGCCGATCGCCCCCCCCCCCCCCCCAAACAAGACAAAAAAATTTTGAAACGAAGGGGGGGCGATCGCCCCCCCAAAGGCCACTGAATATGATTGAGGATTTGGATCCTCTCCACTACAATAAAGTTGCGGAGAGGTACTACATTGATCTCAATCATCAATTATTTTGCGTATGGTTGTGATTATTCTTCTTGAATGCAAAATAGGAATGAGTGCAATTCATAGGGTATAAGTGTTAAAATTTAAAATAAATTATAATAATCCATAAACATGTTCAATAATTATGATCAAAAGCAGTGGTCTCTCTACAATTTTTTTTGTTATGGAGAACTCGTTGCAGTTGCAGATAAAAAGGATTTGTGATGGCACCTGATAATGAGAGCATTGATCTTGGATGAAGGACTATGAAGTTGGCTACCGCAATATACTTTTGGGAAAACTTTTGGTTATGTAAAGATATTGTGGTAGTTATGTCTTTAATGGTGATATCTTTGTTTTTTTTTTTGTATGGGAATGTGTGGATTTTCTCTGCGATATAATATGGATTCTTCACAATCTTGATTATAGAAAATGCCTATAATTAGTTAGGTGAGCTAATATTATTAACATATCTTAGTGAGTCCATATCTTAGTGAGTCTTTAATGGTGATATGTTTTTTGTATAGGGACGTGTGGAATTTCGTAGCGATATTATATGGATTCTTCACAATCTTGATTATAGAAAATGCTTATAATTAGTTAGATGAGTTAATACTATTAACATATCTTAGTGAGTCCCATAATTAAATTTTGTTTAATATTATTTAGATAATTAATATCATTCATGAGGCCCGGCCCACTAAATGAAGAGTTTGATTGATGAGTTAATACAGATTCTCTACAAGATCTCTACCCCTAGAACTTGTAGGCCATACTTTCGGAGCAACCAAAAATTGGGTAATTTATCAAGCTAGAGCATACATGTGGTGTCTCATCCTCTCTCTTTCTCTCAAAATAAAAAAAAAAGAAAAAAAAAGGAAAGGAAAAGAAGTTACTTAACAAGAAGACTAAATGAAAACAGACCAAAAATAGACCAGTACTTCCTCCTCTTTAACCATTGCTAAGAATTTCACAGCAGCAAACAAAAATGCCAAAATCTACACTGTTGATCACACGCCACTGATCATTTTGCGAGGCACACAAAACTTGCAGACACGTGAACCGTGAATAACTAACACACATGACCCACATCCATGTTTTGACCATAAAGGGGTCGAAAACTGCAAAAACATGTAAAGTTACACAGCAAAACCTGCAACAGTTCCACTGAGACAAATCTCAAACAAACAAGAAAAAAATCCAAATTCAAATCTAATCCTCTATGCAAACAATTTTCAAACAACTTCATTATTCTACAGCTTGAACAAGCTTAAACATCTACTAAACAAATAGAGACTTCCTTGGTGTTATTAACATCACACTTTGTTGATTATATTTTCAGTGCAAGACCGATGAATCTTTTGCTGAAATATGCACCTTGAAAAAATAACCACATTCATCTCTAGCTAATATCAGCCTCTCCCTTACCTAAAAGACCAAGAAACAAACTGAAACCAAAGAAATCATGAAAAAAAGTGGGAAACCAAGGGAAAAACTACCACTAAAATCTCTAAATTTACACTAAAAAAATCTACAACATTCCATAAAAACAATTGAAAAAAATTAAAATTTCAAATTTAATCCCTCTTGGAAAGGGTGGCTTAGTACACGAGGCTCCCGCCATTGTACACGAGGCTCCCTCCATTGTAGGTTATAAGGTCAAATGTAAGCAACCTTACCACATGCAGAGAGGTTGTTCCTGAGAAAATCTAATCCCTCTAAGCAAAAACCCCAAATGCTCAGACCCAAACTCCCTTGGCAAGCTCTGCACGACATGAGGAGAGGTTGTTTCTGTGAAAATCTAATCCCTCTCAGCAAACCCCAAATGCTCGGACCCAAACTCCCTCGGCAAGCTCTGCACCGTATCCGACCACCTACCTGGAGAATGATCACTACTATTTGACGAAACCACCACCTCCGCCCTTGCCTCCCTGATCATCCTAACCACCTCCTTAACCTCCGGCCTCCTCCCTACCTCCGCTACAACACAAGCCATCGCCACATTCAACAATACACCCAACTTCTCCTCCTCAGACGACCGGTCTTCCCCTCCCGATTCCGTCTCCTCCTCTCGGACTGACCGGACCCATCGGGGGATATCGGCCCCGTGCTCCTCCACGAGGTCTTGGAATGGTGTTTTGCCTGTTAAAAGCTCTAGTAAAAGGACGCCAAAGGTGTATATGTCAGATTGAGGGGTGAATGTGGGTTTTGGGTTACGGGTTTCGGGTGCACGGTAGAAGAGGGCGGAGGAGGTGGAGGTGGAAGAGGTGGTGGTGGGGGCAGTGGAGGAGTGGAGGAGGGGGAGGAGGCAGAAGTCGGTGAGGCAGGATTCAAAGTCGGAGCCGAGGAGGACGTTGGAGGATTTGAGGTTGCCGTGGACCGCGTTGGATTGGTGGAGGTAAAGGAGGCCAGTGGCCACATCCTCTGCGATTTTCAGGCAGGATGTCCAGTGTAGGGGTTTCCCGGTGCCAGAGGGGCGAGAGCCTGCAAATGTATCTTGGTTATAGCGTAAGAATCACATAATCAACCCACATATTGAAAATCTAGGGGTCAAAAATAAAATATTATTCAGATTATAACGTAGAATCAATTAACTTTAGCCTTGAGATAAATGAATGAAATAATAGAATTCATGTTGCCTACACCAAAAATTTGAGATAAAAACATTTAGTTGTTCTAGACTATAACTTAGAACCAAATTATGGATATATGGATTTGTAGTTTCAAGTAATTAACTAATTTTCTAAATCCTCTTTCCTTATTCTTTAGTTTTTTCTGCCAACAGGTTAATTCAATAACTTTATTGTTATTATTTAAAAGAAATCCCCTTTAGTTTGTTTGAGTTTCATTATCAGAATTCCAAAAAGGTACTCACAGTTGAGGTATAATATACACAGGTTTTTCTATATCATCAATTTTCTACCATTTAGAGCATGTTTGGCTACTACTTATTTTTTGTTACCTTATAAGTTCCTTATAACATATTTTCAAAACACCTTATAAGGATGTAAAAAAATAAGTAAAGCGTTTGGTAAAACCTTAAACTTATAAGGATATGTGTACACTTATTTGTTTGGTAAACCAATAACTTATAAGATTGTGATAGTTATCAAATGACCAAAAAGGACATCTTGTTAAATCTCATATTTGACTAATTAATTACTTATATACTATTCAAATAATATTCATTAATGAATATTGTAATTTTCACACTAAGTAAATAATAAAAATTAAGTATTTCATATAATTATGATTATTAATTACTAATATTAGGACAAATTAATTAATTTATATTAACACAAAATCATTATCGGTAAAATTATTGATCAATTAATAAAAATTAATTATTTCATAATATTAAATATATTTAAATATATTACACTAATTTTGGTTATTAATCACTAATACTAATGTTAACTAGTTAATTTCATATTAATTAAATTAAGAATTTTAATAGGAATAATTTTTATTCTTAAAAAATAAAAATTATTAACTAAATACTAATTAATAGATTTATTAAATTAATAAATAAATAACAAAATATAACTATTTGTTATTAAAAATAAGAAAATATAAGTTATTAATTAAAAAATAATTATTAATAAATTTATTTATTAGTTAACTAATTAATTAATAAGGATAATTATTTATTTTTAAAAATAATTAATAAGTAGTAATTATTAATAGCTTTATCTATTAGTTAACTAATTAATTAATAAGAAAGTTTTTATTCTAATAAATAAAACCTACAAATAATGAATTAAATAATAATTATTGGTAAATTTATTTGTTAATTAACTAACAATTAACAATAATAATTGCTTATTCTTAAAAATTAAAATGTTAACTAATAAATGAGTTGTAATTATATGTAAGTTATTTAGTAATTAACTAATTAATTATAATAACAATTATTTTATGATAAAAAATTTATTTATTTAGAATATATTTTGTATATCACATTACTTATTGTTATTAATAACTAATAGTAATAAAGAGGTATGAAGGGTATCATGATGAGATGGAAAGAGAGCAAAACAACAAAAACAGTACTCTTTCTCACAGGGACGGACTACAAATTGGTCTCTCACAGCAGGGTGCTAGACTCAAGTCTCAGTCATGACCCAAGCTCAAATCCAAGGAAAAAGGCAACCAAATCCAAGAAGCTTTGCTGTCCCTTTGCCGAAGTTCTCCTCATCTTTACTGCAAGCTTTCAAATTGCTGTCCTTGTCATCATGTTTGCCTGTGTAAGGCTCGGTTGACTACATTTTTACAGTTAGGCCCCTCCAAGTTTTCTGAAAGTTCATATGGGTTCCATGTACTTTCAGGCAGTGTTCGTCTGTTAAAAACTTCGCTGACAGGGGTTTTAGGGGTTGTTTGGTTGATTTCCTAGAAACCCAAGTTTGGGAGATTACTCATGGGAAATAGGTTATGAAACTTATTTTCATGTTAAAAAATAACTCGGGAACCCAAAATATGAGAGAACAAGTGAAGTGTCCACCTCAAAAGAACTTCAAATTTGTGTGTTGTGTGTTTTAATTTCTTTTTTTAGTGGACCGAGAAGCAATCGATAAAAAAGGACAGGTGCACGCACAGAAGTTGAGAGTCACGTGAGATTCGTCTTTCGCGCCTAAAAGTTCTCAGTTTTGTCCCTAGACTGCTGCTTTCGTTACTGGAACCTTAATCAAACCAATGATTACAAGTAATCTACTTCCCCAAAAAAAAGAATGCAACTCTGTGAGTGTGAGGTACCCATTAAATCCATAACTGTATTTTGTTCGTTGTGCAATTAACGCCGGAAATTGCAAATGAATGTTATTAATCCAAAGAACTTTGCTACAAAGACCCAAAATATGGGACCAATACAGGGGACAAGTGAGGTGTCCCCCTCCTATTGGATAATGAGTTGGCCATCATTAATGATGGCCAACTCATTATCCAATAGGAGGAGAACACCTCACTTGTCTCCTTTATTGGTCCCATATTTTGGGTCCTTAAAGAATTTTTCTAATCCAAAAGTATACGTACTGTGTGTAAAAAGATACTTAAATTTGAGCAAAAAATCGTTTAAGAAAAATCAAATTGAGGGCATCCAAACTAAAAAAAATATCCATAAATATAAACCACCTAGGATCAAGAAAAAAAAATCAAAATAGTTTTGACATGATATAGTATCTATTGAATTTAACATTTAAGAGTTTTCGCCTAACTGATAAACTCTGTAAACTTAAACAAACTACAAATTTTTAAACAAAATGATAAGTTTTCTACCGATAATATTTTATAGCAAATCTCACTTCACAAAAAAATATATATAAAAAAACCCGAAGATTTAAACGCACGTACCATGAATCAGAGAGAAGAGGCTCCCGTTAGGAAAATAATCATACACCAGCAATCTCTCCTCCTTGGCTTGAAAGTAAGCTCTCAACGGCACCAAATTGGGGTGCCTCAGCCTCCCGACCTCCTCCATCCTCCTCCCGAACTCCTCCACCCCGAGACCCCCTGAATCCTTCAGCCTCTTCACCGTCACAATGAATCCAGACTCCATCACCGCTTTGTAAGTTGAGCCCACCGTCCCTCTCCCCAGCGTCTCCGCTGAAGCCTTGAGCAGTTCCTCGAGGCTGTACATTTCCCAACTCCGCCGCAAAACGCTAGCTTCCCTAACCATCGTTCTCCCATGAGAATTCCCTTTTCACCCCCGGGTGGCCCGACGCCGCCGCCGCTCCTCGTCGCCGATGGCTTATCGGTGATTACGCCCGCGCCTCCCGGTTCCTGCTCCCTTGCTTTTGAGCAGCAGGCATGCCAGAATGCAGGCTATGACGGCCAACGCTGTGAATGCCGAGATCGAGCCCGCCAGATTTTGACGAGTTTCTTCTTGTTTTTGTGACGGGTCGGCGGGTTTCCGTGGGGGGAGAGGTTGAGCGGGGACGAGATTGAGCGGGGCGGAGGAAAGGTTGGGCTTTGATCGCCGGGCGCGCAGGGGTTTTGGACTTGGGCGCCGCAGAGGTTGGGGATGTTGAGGAAAGAGGAGAGGTTGAACTGGGCTAGGGTTTTGGTGCCCGGGATCTCGCCGGAGAGGTTGTTGTTCGAGAAATTGAGGAATTTGAGACTTCGCTGTCGAAAACTAGGGATTTGGCCGGTCAATCTGTTGTTTTCGAGGTACAGAGTGTACAACCTCTGGATCTGAGCAAAACTCGGTGGGATTTCCCCGGTCAACAAATTGTCGGACAAAACGACGATCTTCAACCGATGAAGGGAGGAGACTGAGCTAGGGATTTTACCGCTAAATCTGTTACTGTTGAGGTAAAGCGACTTCAGATTGAGCAGTGGCGACAGATCAGGGACGGGACCTGAGAGCGAGTTCGATTTGAAGCTCAAAACCCGAATCTGATCCATCGGGGCTAGGGTTTCGGACCTCAAGGTCCCAGTGAGATTCGAACGCTCGACGACGAGCTTCGTCACTCGGCCGTCGCCATTGCACTCTTTAACCCCCGGCCAGCTGCAAAAGCCCGAGCTTGACATCGAATCCCACTGAAGCGAGTTCGACGGGTCGATTTCGGATTTTAGAGAGAGGAGGGCTCGAGCATCGTCGCCGTTGGCGGCGGGAACTAGGAGTCGATTTCGGATTTTAGAGAGAGGAGGGCTCGAGCATCGTCGCCGTTGGCGGCGGGAACTAGGAGAAGCTGGAGGAGGAGCAAGAAGCTCAAGCTCATTGCAAAATGTTGGAGGTCAGAGAGATGCCATCGCCATTGAAAAACACAAAGATGCGATCTCTATTTATTTCGGCGAGCACGTGATCAACAAATCGGCGAGAGAACCCAAAAAGGGCCTCGGCTTTTTAAACAGGGGAACAAAAAAGAGAGAGGAAGGCGATGGAAATTTGACGCTTTCATTAAAAAATCCCTCCCTTTTTTTTTTTTACTTTTTCTTTTTAAAAAAATTTAACTCGGGAAACAAGTGAGTCAATTTAAAGCTCCTCATCTGCTCAGTAGTTGAGAGAAGCGGGGCCTTGTAATAAAGAGTCTACAGTTTCGGGTTGTAATAACGACACCAAAGCTTGACCGCTGACGTGGCAGGTTACCTATATGGTAGGTCAATATTTTGGGGCTTTCTAAATTAATCCCTGAATCTCCAACATTTTAAAGTAGCCTCTCAAATTATCGAAAGCTGACAGGTGCGCGCATCCATTAAGGACAAAATGGTAAATAACTATTCACGATAATCGTTAATCCAACCAGCATCAGCACATTTGATTAGATTTCAAAGGAAGGACTAATTTAAGGCGTGCAATTTCAATCCTATGAAAGGCTTTTTGCAAAAGAATAAAGATTTTAGGGACCAATACCGAAAAAGAAAAACCCCTCATTTTTCTTGCGGCTGCTTGAGGATCTGTGCGGGCCGCGGATCTAGGGTAGGATATGGGGAGCGGTCGTCCATGGACTGGGTCCAGGGAAGCAGGATGGTGGGGCCGAGTTATTGAATTGGGCTCGACAAGGACTGGTGAAGTCACGTGAGGAGAGGAGGAGTGGGGCCCCTCGTGCATGGGTTCGCTCGTGTCGCTACTTCCGATTTCTTTATTCTACTTCTTTATTTGTTAAGGATTCCGTAGATATGGGTCACTAGATTGTTTAGTATTTTGGGGGGGTGGGGGGTGGACAAATATGTAGGGTTAAAGGGACAAACAATACATATTTTTTATCTGAAAATATAAACATTGTATTTTAAAATTACAGTTCCTAATGAAAATGTCCTCAATATATTTTATATATTTTAGATGAGCTAATTGAATATTTTATTTAAATTTTAATCTATCTTAATCATAATTATATCCTACCCTAATTCAGTGTGAACTACCTGCTCGTTAATAATTTAAAAAATTTAAATTTTAATCTATCATAATCATAATTGTATCATATTCTAATTGAATGTGAATTACTTACTGGTCAATAATTTTAAAAAAATATCATTAATAAAATACATAAAATAGTTCCATGGCATTAGTCTGTTAAGGTAAATAACTAATATGTTATAATATATGAAGTATTAAAAAAAACCAAAAAGTTTTAAAATTTATACAAAACACCCTTGTAAGTTTAAAATTAAATAAACATTCATATGTTTCAAAACTTAAAACAATAAACATAAAATTTAAAAATCAACAGCATCCACTAAAGAATTAAAATTTATAATTTACACCCTCAATATTTTAAAAATTATAAAAACACCCACAAAAGTTCAAATAATAAAAAATCACCCTAAAATTCTGAAATTTCTAAAATTGAAAACAACAAAGATGAATTCAAGGGATTTCCATCATGCACTAAAAAATTAAAATTTATAAAAAATAACCTCAAAGTTATAAAATTATAGAAAATACTTCAAAAATTAAAAAACACAGAAAATCCTAAAATTTAAAGACTCATAACCAATACATATCAAATCTCAAAATTATCAGCAGACTGCTAAAAATTTAAATTTTGCCAATAAACAATCTAAAGTTTCAATAATCGCAAAAAATACCCTCAAAATTCAGAGTTGCAAGAAATATCCTGGCATTCGAAAATTTACCACCATCACACGAAACATGAAATTTATAAGCACCCAACTTAAAATTTAAAATTTGCAAAAAACACTCTCAAAGCTTTGAAATTTGTAAAAAATACTCTCAAAGCTTTGAAATTTGCAAAACACGCCCTTAATAATTCAAAATCACTAAAAAACGACTAAAATTTTAAAACTTAGCAATAAAAGTAGTTGTTTTATATTTTTTTATTAAGATATATAAATTTACTTCTAACTTAAGATTTTACTATTATTTTTTGACATCTAAAAGTAGTCTAATTTTATCAAAAAATATAAAGGTATAAAAGGATTGATAACGTCTCAATAAAAAATAAAACAAAAGGAATGAAATGCACTATTTTCTGAATATTTTATAGAATAGTTTTTTTAGTAAATTAGGAATATTTATAAGAGATTTTCATAAAATTTTTTCATAATTTTATATGTTTACGTAGATGCTTTCATTATATAAAAGTGTACCAGAGTTAGCATTAATTTTTAGTTTATGATTTTTTTAGAGTATATCAAGGATTAATAACAAAACTCCATATTATTTTTTGTGTTATTTTGGCCCACTTTTAACCATCATCTTGTCTTATTAGCTTTAATTGTTCATTTTTCTTGTAGAACGCTTTTTTGAAGTGTTTTCACTTTTGCAACACTATATATTCTCAGGTTAAGCTTGGTTTCATGTATGTCTCAATAACATGATAATTCAAATTGATTTCAGATTATATTTATTTATTGTCAATTCAATTATCAATATAAAAATTTAAATTGGGTGTAGCTCATTTAAATGAACATTAAAAAAAATAACCACAATGCTAAAGTTTAGAGATACAAGCTAAAGTTTAAAGGTATAAGTAAGCAAAAACTATCAAAGTGAAACCGAGAAATAAATTTTAATAAGGAAATAAACTAAATATACATAATCACGGTATATTTAACCACATGCATTGCACGCGCATAGAACCTAGTTTTTTTTTTTAAATTTGTGAGGGACATGTAATAAAATTTATAAAGACTTATATGTATTATGTAAATTTTAAGAGTGTGACTGCATCCCAATACATATATCTACATCCGCCCCTGTTTCTTTCTTAGTTTTTTAAGTCTTGTAAAGCAAGGGTTCTTGGTGAAATTAATTGTAATCGTGAAAACAACAAGTAGAAGGACAAGGTAAATGAAGAGCTTGATTAAGCAATAGTAGCTTTACTTTGAAGTGTGAGTTTCTAAAAGAAAAGAGAGGAAGAAAAGTCAGGTACCATCTTTTAGAAGACAGGAAATAATAAGATACCAATAATGATGAGGATTTGCTTAAACTAAGAAATTTATCTGCTCCCCTCTTTTTCAAGAGTTGTTGTGATCGACAACATTATTGCATCAATGTTTCCTATCTTGGGAGTAAAACTTAGAATTAAGTAAGCACTTTCTACAAAAGATACTCGTAAAATAGGCTAAATGACACTTAAATACGCTATTGCTTCATTACCTTTACAATAAAATATTTTAAGTCGTAAAAAGTATCATATAAATATCCTAAGTTGTCCACTGTTAGAATATGGTAAATACCATTATAAAAACCATTATAACATAAGTATCCATTCATAAAAATTCAATAAAAAGATGGAGGGTATGTATAGTGGTAAATACGATAATAAATTGGGTCAACACAATTATAAAAATGCAATGTGCTAATCACATGGAATATTCCTAGAAGTATTCTCACATGCAACTAACATTAAGTGTTAACGTGTCAATTTTTTTTACAACTTAGGATATTAAACTGCTACTTTTTTTTTACAACTTACTGTATTAAAATACTACTTTTTATAATTTTGGAGATTTAAGTGTAAATGTGATAAGTGTCATTTAGCCCTTGAAATATTTCCAAAGGTTGGCTAAGTAGGATCATTAATTCAGTTATCCTTCGGAGATACTTAAACTCCCGTAGAGATAATTTATTTACATATATTTTCTTTTTAAAAAATTTTGCAAGTACATTTCATGTGCTATTGGCTATAATATTTATAGAGTTCTTTCGGTCTAGTCGTCTCTTAAATATCTCATACTTAGAGATTAGTGATGCAATCATCAACTCTGCTATTAGGTACTTAAATCATGTAAGTTGTTTGAAATTAGTCTCTCTAGTTAGTACGAGGAGTATTTCTTCACTTTTACCTTTTTGAAGTGAAATGTCCAATATTATTTTCTGGAGGGTAATAATTCTCGTTTCTTAAAAGATGAAGCGGGATTAGCTAATATATTGGATGAATTTTATAATGGAGGGACTCATTTCTAACATCTTGTATGTTTTTGATGAACCTATTGCATTTTCATAAATATGAGGGACTAATATCAAAAAAGATCCCATTTACTATTGGGCCAACGGACCTTAGCATGTTGAAGGGAAAATTTCTGTCCATTCAAACTGTTACCGTACAGGCTTACACGAGTATGGAAACCCAAAAGAACTAGCAATATTTACTTACGTCCAGTTATATATTTTTCATTACTAGTATGACTGCACGTGCAATGCACGTGGTGAAATCTTTAAATTTAATTTAAAATAAAATGTTAATTATGAAAAAATTTTGAATAAATTTATTGAATGTAAATAATTTAGCCAAGATATGAACATATTCATATCGTATCTAGTACAAATGTGACCAAGCTTAGTAACCAAGTTAGCTAGTATAACAGTCGCAGCAACAAGTGGTAAGTTTAATACTATGGTAAAGTCGAGTACATTGTTACAGATAGCTGAGTTTATAAGTCACTGTTCCATTACCCCCGGATAGTATCCAATATTGTTGACATTTGAATGGGCAAAAGAAAAATAAACATTTGAAAGAAACACTATCAAAGGGGTAACCTTTACTTCTTTCCTTCTTCCTTTTTTTTCCTCTTTCTTTGGCATATATTTTTTAGGGGTAGGCAGTTATCAGCCATCAACCAATTAAAAAGCTAATAGTTAAAGCAACAACCAGTAAAAATTAAATGAAACGTTGATATAGATAAAGACGTAAAATACATAAATCTAATAATTCCTCACAAAAACGCCTCATGAAACTGAATTTACAAATAGATAAGCAACATCAGAGTAGAGAAGATAGGGGAGATATTGTAGTTTGCATTTGAAAATAAGCATATATTTTCAAAGAAAAGTAAGGTAGACCTTCATGGATAATTTAGTACAGCAGTTGAAAGGATTTGCAAGAACAGCAGATGTTTTTAAAGCTTTAGAAGCATGGCTAGGCAAGGATGAACCAAACCTAGCACTTAATCCAACGACACTGTTGCCCTCAGTTCCATTCACGCAGTTCTTTATCTTAACCTGTAGCAAACAAAAATATGACAAAAGAAAAGAAAAACAGGAGGAAAGCATTTATCAGTTATACCCCAGAAATACATCAGAAATCACAATGCTTGAAATTAAGAACAACAGGTATTCGTCAGCAATAAGGTATGCAGATCAAGGCAGAACATATGAATCCACTTAGTTTCAAATTCCCCCGAATCTTTTGAGCTATATTATTAAATTAGAGAGATTGATTGATTGTCAACTATTTCAGCTTTAGGCTCGTTCCTAGATCAAACATTTGACGTTTCTTACACTTGAATATAAATGAAGCCGAAGCTTCATGGTAGATCCTAAATAACATCTTATTAGCATATAGTATACCCCAGTAGTCAAATGTTATGCATCATAGAGGCAAAACAAAGAGAGTGCAATTACATATGTAAGTGTTGTCTGGTACCAGTGGAATAGTATATGTAGTGTTATTGAAGACCGTGCTTTGCTCATATCATGCCATACAAGCATATCCTTCTCCAATGACTTGAATGTGGTCAGTCACAGTCTTTTTTTTGAACCATGAGAACTAATTTGTAATATCAAGATATCAATCAGAAACAATAATCTTTGATTCATTAAAGCTTGGCAGTCACAAGGAAAAAAATGGTTGAAAGATGTTAATCCAATTCGTTACAAGCTTGGTGGTCAACAAGAAAGAACAAGTCTCCTAAGACTAACTCAAACCAAGTAAAGATGCAGTCACATCCATTTTAAGCGCAAGATGAAATTTTCACCTCAAATCAGATGTAAATTACTATTAACAAACAAGAAAACTTTAGGAATGGCATTATATCAAACAACTTTAGGAACGACAATTAACTTACCATAATTTAAAGAAGATGCACATAATTTCTTGACATAATGGTAAAATAATTGGCTAAAACAAGTAAAGTCTCAAGCATCGCATAGTATACTACGTACTACAAAGTATAAATAAGTTTGTCCATAAAAACAAGCAACAACAGTCCGTGGCAACAACTGCAGTCTAGAAACTGGACCGCGTGCAGCCATTGCACATAGTCGAGGGCTAAAGCAAGGATTGCTTGTGGTAAGCGCACACTGGCATGATGATTTTCTTTTGTAGTTTGATTTATTTGAGTATTTTTTTAACGGTTTCTGTCTGTAAAATACCAGAACTCAACTCAACTGATCAACAAGTTTGTCAAGGACATCTCTTTGTCATGTGTGGGAAAAAAACCACATAACTTGAATGCAGTTCATTACGTGTGAAATCTAGGCCTTGATGCTTCAGTTCAAACCTTTCTGTTACTTTTTTTTGTTGCGACTGGACCATGTTATTTACCTGTATTCTTTGGTATTGTTTTTATTAAGTTGTAATTGCATTGACCATGCCTTCATTAGCAGCTGTGTCTTTACATGTGGATGGACTGGCCCATAGAGGTTACAGCATATCGTGTAGAGTATGTGAAGCCCTGTTATTACACATGAAAATAGACTTAGTATTGAGGAACATTAAGTGGGCCTGAATTAATAAGATAATTTAACTTTGATTAATTTCTTTTCTTTTTCTTCCAATTCAGTTGTTTGTCAATTAACCAAGAGTATACCCCAGTTTACCAGACATTGAAATACACGTGCATCATCGAAGAAAGACAGAGTTTTCCCCCTAAACATTCATGCTTATCATAGACTATAGGGTTAGTTGTCATACGTGCCAAGACTCATAAGTAAGCATTTGACATTTAGTTTTAGTTTCCAATTTATAACCATATAATGCAACATTCAATTTAAAAAACTACAAAAAGATTTTCATACATAGTAACAGTTTATAACCAGTTAATGCAACATTCAATTTTGTAAACTACAAATTTTTTCAACATTGTAATAATTTTCTTTAGTAGTATTATAGAATTTGCATACCTCACAACTAAATTTAACAACTTTTCCTTAGACATCCACTAAACTTCTTGGTCACATCTACAACTTGTGTAGAAGGATGTTGCCGATAATACTCGTGGATTTAAACAAAGAAGCAAGAAAATATTTTTAATTAAACAACTATAAACAAACATTCCTAGGGCTGGAGGAAAAGTTAAAACAATCTCTTTCAATCTCTCATAGAAAGCCTGAACACATTTGTGCCGCCGCCAAATGTGTGCCCTCTCAATGCAGTGATCCATCCTCATTTTCTTGCTTGCATGAAAGAATAGCCAATAAGAAGAGAAATCATAGTCTTTTGCAGTCAATTAATTATGAAGGGTATTCAGTTACCAGGACAAATATCTAAAATTCGACAGAACATCAATTAAAATCTAAAATTTTGCAGTCAATTAGAGAAAACCCTAGTTTTCAGACCATGAGGGGTACCTAAGATAGGAGTCGACTCTTGAGTGAGCTTCTCCTCTTCAATCTTCTCCGCATCTTAACTCCTCCACTGAATAAAATATATAAAAAGAAAAGGAGAACAACGTCAACCGAAACAATTCTGAAGTTAAAATATATAAAAAGAAAAGGAGAACAACGTCAACCGAAACAATTCTGAAGTCTTTAGAACAAAAAAAGAGGCACATAAATTGGAATTAGTGCTTTAACCTGCAGAGATTGAAGGATCGAACTAAACCCGAGATAAAGTAATTCAATCTAATTTTAGCAATTAGGAATTTTTACCAAAACCCTGAGGAAATTCCTGCAGCAGAGAAAAAAAGACTGAACTTTACTACAAACAGAACGAATATCGATCTCATTTCAGCTACCAAAGAGCTAAATTGATCAAGCCATGCCATCTTTGCTCATCTTTACGAAAATCTTATAACTGTTTTTAAGAAATTGTGAAAGGATTTCATTGAAAGGACTTCACCTCAATAATCATAATAGTTAGTTATCAACAAATATATGTACAAGGAATGAAAGTTTTGTTCAAAGCAAAATGCAGATGCATAACGATCCTCTAATTCACACAGTGCTAGGCCTAAAAGTGATGCTATGCTTCTAGGCCCTTCATCTGGGCAATCCAATTCCTCATTGAGTCCCATCTCTTTTCCCCTTGAAAATTTTTTAAGTACTTGATTCATAGAATAGACAATATAGTAGATAAAAATAATATAAATACATGAATCTCGTTGTTTAGTCAATACTTCTTCGATCTTGGCTCGTTTGAGGTTTAAGTCTGGCTTTTCTTGAGATGCAAGAGACAATCCCAAGACCATTTGGAATTGATTCCCGTTAAGTCTTTTAAACCTCCTCTTTCTAGAACTTGGCATGGCCTAAGTTACAAAGGATATATAAAATATGGCTAGAAAGCTAAATGTTGTTGGAAATTTGATAAATATATCAAACACTAAAGAATCACACATCAATTAATTTATCCTTAATCTCAACTTATTTTATTTGGGTATATGAATGATCCTTTTACGACATTTTTACCATAATGTACTAACATATTTGTTACCCACATAACTAAACACACTAAACCTCTTCTTATCCCTTGCAAGAAACAAACAAACGCACACCATTGTATTTAGTTATTGCAAATGATACAGTCGAAGATAGTATCTCAAAACAACCATGCATATCTTTATTAATGGTTAGGCTCAAATTTCATCACAAAATTATATTGATGGGAGGACGAGTAAGGCTCCAATAATTTACGGGCAACTGTGCAAAGGCAAAATGTCAAAGCTAAATTGCATCAAAAGCATATTGTGAATGCAGCTACTTGATCTTCGTGACACCAAGCTTCTTTGTTCTTGTCAACAGTCAAAATCCATAAAAAAATTTGACACTTAATGCTTGCCATATGAAGAATAAGTTTGGACGAAACACGAAGATTAAAAATAAACGCAATAAAAATTAGAATAACAAAATTATGCTGAAGGTATCAAGTTAGACACCAAGATAAAATTCATAGGCAAAGGAAACAAATATTAAAAATTAATGCGACATTTAATAAAAAAAGGTAACTTAACTTTGACGCAAAGGTATAAAATAAAAATAATAAAGATTGAAAATAAATTTAACAAAAATTAAAATGAAAAAATTTGCTAAATGTAGTGAATTTGACACAAAGGTATTGAATAAATGCAACATTTAATAAATAAATAAAGGTAACAACTTTTGACACAAAGGTATTGAATAAAATAACAAAGATTAAAAATAAATATAACAAAAATGGAAAATAACAAAATTATTCTAATAATTTAGACACAAAGGTAACAATTCATAACTAAAGGTAACAAAGATCAAAAATAAATGAAACATCTAACATCTAAAGGCAAGGAACTTCGACATGAAGGTAACAATAATAAATTAACATAACACAATTAACCGAAAAATTCATAGCTAAAGGTGACAATTGATGAAGATAAATAACGGAAAAAAGAATAAAGAAAATAAAATTATTCTAAAGGTTGCGAGATATATTAAATAGAAATGAAATGCTTCATAACGAAGGTAACAATGTTTAAAACAAATATAAAGATTAATAGCTGCACATAACAAACTTCAACATAAAGGTAACAGTGCATAACTAAAGGTGGCAAAATTCAAAAAAATGATGACAAACTATTGTTATATTGCTAGTGTTAACACAACAAATAAAAAACAAAGGTAATTAAGTGAAAGGTTCATGATTAAAGGTGACAACCCGCAACCTAAAGATAACAAAATCTGAAGGTGGCATAAATAAAGATAACAAAGTTACACTAAAGATAACAAGTTAGACATGAATGTGCCAATTCATAGCTAAAGGTAACAAATATAAAAAAAATAACAAACATCGACACAAAAATAACAATAATTAATAAAGATAAAACAATTAACCAAAAAGTTCATAGCTAATGGTGGCATACTTCGACTTAGCAATAATAAAATTGAAAGGTAATAAGCATAAAAATTATGCTAAAGGTAACATGTTAAATAGAAAGGTAATAGCTATAACAAATTAGAAGTGAATGTAACATTTAATAACTAAAGATAACAAACTATGACATAAAGGTAACAATTTATAGCTAATGGTGACAAAGTTCAATACAAAGATGACAAACCTCGACATAAAAATATTAAATAAAACAATTTAGGTAACACAACTAAAATAAAGGTTCATAACCAAAAGGGGCAAAAATTGACCTAATTGAAAGATATATAAATATAAAGATAAAGGTGACAAAAGTATGCTAAATGTAGAAAATTAGACACAACGGTAACAATTCTATCTAAAGGCAATTATCAACAATCTTAAAGAACTTAAATCATAATAACACAAGATGCTAAGCATCAACATTAACGAAAAAAGCTACATAATTAAAATGATTTTTTTGGGGAAAATTGCAATGGAAGTCGAAGAAAAAAAGGAGAAGGAAAAAACCTCTAAATTCTATATGGTATTCCATAAGTATCAGCAACTGAATCCATTCAGATTGGAGACAATTACCTGCAATAAAAATGGTAGAAATTTATCACTCATGGCTAAATGGACTACGCATAAGAAGATCATAATTTCACATAGTGAGAATGAACAAAAACATTTCTTGATTTCTATGTGTATAATAAAGCATAGATTTCCTGAAATATCTAGTTATATTCAAGTCCTTTTTTTCTTTGAAATGTCCTCTTCATTATCATAGGGAACTCTTTTGAGCTTCAAACCAAGATCCAATTTGTAACTGAAAGGGGTTGACTAATATCTCAAAGCCTTGGCTACGACTTCCATTTGATTTACATTGTCACTATCCATTCACAATATTTCCTTTTTATGTAGTTAATAGGATATGCACTTTAGTATATTGTCAATATTGATTATACTGTAACCAACATTAGCAAAATGTGAAAATGGCTAAACCCATAGCAGTGAAAGAAAGATTCAGAAGAAATTCATAAGAAAAATGCTAATCGAGAGGATTGAAAAAAGCAACTTTAACAGTACAAATCCAAATATAACTAAAAAGGGTTTTTTAGATATTAGCCCCCCAAAACTTCAAAAATTCCATATTAGTCCCTCAAATCATTGAAATTGCTTATTAGACCCTCAAATTTTATGGGGACTTGAGGCTAACATGTTAACCAATAACCAAAACCATTGAGGTGATTGGCGGCAAATCACCATCGCCTCATTGGAAATCGTGTTGTTAGAAATCCTGAGAAAATGAGAGGATTTTGGAAGGATTTGTTAAATGTGGTCCCGCTACATCCTAATAATACAAAACAAATTACTAAAATTCAGAAAATATGAAGAAAAAAAATGTAACTCTTAAATATTCAAAAAAATAAAAAAGTAAAAATACTAATATATTCCATTTTAAATACAACATACATAATAAGTGGGCCCAAAAATCCCTTTCTGCTTTTATCTATTTCTTTACAAATACACAAGAATTCTTTAATTCTCTTTTCAAAGCTAACTTTCATTCCACTACCCTACAAACCAAACATAAAGCTAAAATGTAGGATAGGCAATAATTCTTTGAAATCCAACATTGCCATAAATCCAAAATACAAATCTTAGAGCCAAACATCCCCTCATACACCTGTATATGTGGCTATACATAAAGATATATCCATAATTGAGCATTAAGAAACCATCAAAAGTAGGTACCAGTCTATCGTACAAACTCAATTAATCATCAGCAACACAAAGTAAACAATTTAACAAGAAAACAGATAAAACCTTGAGCTGCTCCCTTTCAGCTGATGAACGAAAGAACCCACGTTCTGGAAGTCCACAACTGGCTGATCTCTGCACACATAAATTCTCAAACATAAAATCCAAAAAAATTAACCAAAATCAACAACTTCACACCAAAATTACCCACAAACTTACATCAAGCTGCTCAGCTCTGAGATCATCCTATTAGAATCATCACAAAACAACTTAATCACCTCAACAAGGAATTCACCCCCGTCCTCTTCCAGCATTAGCAGCTGATTAAACTGCTGATCCAACAAACCCTAGAAATCGACAAACTCAAATCAAACACTGAAACCCTAATTTAAAAAGAAAACAAGCAATCAGCACTCACCCCTGTCGTTGAGGAGGGCGGTGAGGAGGGCGCAGAAGGAGAGCTGGGTGGGGTTGCGGATCTGGTGGAAGAGGCGGACGACGTCGTCGAGGAGGCCGGAGGCGTAGTGGAAGAGGATCCAGGTGAAGAAGCCCTCTGATTTGAGGGACGTGGGGTCAGAGATCTGGGACAGGAGGGCACACCGGATAAAGTCAAGGCGGCAGAGGCGGGAGAGGGCGAGGGTGAGGGGGCGGTCGGAGTAGAAGCGGGGGAGGTGGGAGGAGGACTCGAGGAGGTCAGTGATGCGGTCGGGCTCGGACTTGATGGCGGAGAGGAGGGCGGAGAGGGGTTTAGGATTAGGGCCATGAGGGTATGGGAGAGAGTATGGGAGGGTACGGGAGTAACCGATAGAAGGAGAAGGAAAGGAACGAATGCTTAGGGCTTTACATCTTCTGATTTGTGAGTAAGGGAAAAAAATTATCTTTCTTAAGTTAATGTTAAGTTAATGAAATAAAAGATGAGGACAACTTTGTTATATTTACAACAGTGGAAGGGTAATTTGGGGTAGGGAAAGTTTTTTTTGGAACTCCCTCTTTAAAGCGGTAGATAGATCACGGCTAGCTGGGCAAGTATTCGAAGTAAATGTATTTGGGCTCCACATCGGCCTTTTATAACAATCTAGATTACTGTAAATGAGACGCTTCATTAAAAGTCCCCTTCCTTGTGTTTAGTTTATTTTTAAACGTTTGAATGTTTAAGATGGTAGAAAGTGAAGTAAAATGGGGTGAGGTGAGTTAGATGAGTTGATTGATGTGACATATTTTTTGTGTTTAGTTTATTTTTAAAAGTAAGAAATGAGATGAGATGAGATGAGTTGTCACCATATTATTGGTTGATGTTGGAGGTTTGTAAGGATGGAAAATGATGAAAGTGAAGGAAAATGAAGAAAAATGAAGAAAAATGGGTTTTGGAAAATAAAGGAAACGAACCGGCCCTAATTGAAGCTTCATGTTATTTTAATTATATATGTCCAACTTTAACATATATGCTTGGTTGGATATTGTTACACCAAATATTAAGTTGTATTTATAAAGTTTAGGGGATCGTATCTTTGATCCTCTATAAATAGATGGAAACATGCATGATGATACGCACAGAACGAAGTCATCTCCTTGAAAATCCTACCTTTTTATCTCTATGCTGATGAAGTTTCAGAGTGATTTATTGTCCTACAAATAATAATCATTACATAATAATATCTATAAACTAAATATAGAAACTCTCCATGACTATTTCACATTACAAATCATGATAAGTATAAAATAAGTATGTGCAATTACTGCGTAAAATATCTCATGTAAACAACGTGTCATGTAATCATCATTTGGTCATTATGTGAAAGAATAAATATATATACGTAGATTGAAAAATGACATGTGAACCCATGTGATATAATCAAGCATATATACCAAAAGATAATAGGGAAAATCTTTTTTTAACCCAAAGTTTTACTTCAACTTATTTTTAAACCCATCTTCTTTCATTATGATCCATACACCCAAAATACAACACCTACTTATTTATAAACCCAAAGTATCACTTATTTATAAACCCAAAGTATCAAATACACCATATTTCTGGTGCTCCTCCCACTCAAAAAAACCCTAAAACACTCAAAAACACTCGACTACTGACGCATCGTGTTTATTGGCCGATTATCCACCGCGTCGGGCTGTCCTCGTTGAATTTCGAAGCTTCAGGCAAAGTATAGCACTTTACGGGAAAGTATAGCACCTTATGGCCAAAGTATAACACCTTATGGCAAAGTATAGCACCTTATGGGCAAAGTATAGCACCTTAAGGTCAAAGTATAGCACCTTATGCTCTCTAAAAATTCTGCACATCAAGTTGTCGAGAACCATTTTAGTTTTTTTCCCCGCAACGAAAACATTCGACGATCGACGCATCGTATTTATTGGCCAATCATCTACCGCGTCGGGCGGTCCTCGCTGAATTTCGAAGCTTCAGGCAAAGTATAGCACTTTACGGGAAAGTATAGCACCTTACGGCCAAAGTATAGCACCTTATGATAAAGTATAGCACCTTATGGGCAAAGTATAGCACCTTAAGGTCAAAGTATAGCACCTTATGCTCTCTAAAAATTCTGCACATCAAGTTGTCGAGAACCATTTTAGTTTTTTTCCCCGCAACGAAAACATTCGACGATCGACGCATCGTATTTATTGGCCAATCATCTACCGCGTCGGGCGGTCCTCGCTGAATTTCGAAGCTTCAGGCAAAGTATAGCACTTTACGGGAAAGTATAGCACCTTATGGCCAAAGTATAGCACCTTATGGCAAAGTATAGCACCTTATGGGCAAAGTATAGCACCTTAAGGTCAAAGTATAGCACCTTATGCTCTCTAAAAATTCTGCACATCAAGTTGTCGAGAACCATTTTAGTTTTTTTCCCCGCAACGAAAACATTCGACGATCGACGCATCGTATTTATTGGCCAATCATCTACCGCGTCGGGCGGTCCTCGCTGAATTTCGAAGCTTCAGCATAATGAAAGAAGGTGGGTTTAAAAATAAGTTGGAGTAAAACTTTGGGTTAAAAGAAGATTTTCCCAAGATAATATCATCTGAATCAATCTTGTAAAAGCATATACATAGACATACCAAAAAGGAAATAAAAGAAAAAAGAGAATTTTTGAATAATAAAAAATGAAAAGAAAAGAAAAATCTAAAAACAACCCCAAAAAGAGAAAGAAATCAAGAAAAGAAAATTCCAAATTATGTGCATCCAGTAGAAAAGTGCAACATGTAAATAAAGAACTTACTAGAGTAACTATCTAACAACTAGAGTGCATATAATAAGTTAGTAAAGACCAAGTATCTCAAGCACTATCAAAAGAATATACATGTCCAGAATTTTTTAAAAAAAGTCTAAAAAAGAAAGAAAAAAAGAAATACAACCTCCAGCAACTAAGGTATCAACTCACTCAATCCTCTCAATTATCTCCCTGCATGTCCTCATCCTGATCATCTCTTTCGTCAACACCGTGTGAAGTAGATGGACGAAAAGCTCCTGTAGGCTGTGCTGCTTTAGTGAGGAAGTCACCATATACTGGTGGTCCGCTAAGAGATGGACACGATTGATGAAAAGCTTCTATGATATACTGCAAAGATACATCATTGTAGGTGTGTTGTGATGTCATATTTATCCTCATCGACAACATATCTCTCCTCATCATCTCCACACCTCTCCCAGAGACTGCAGAGTTCACTGAGCAGGTCCAGAGCACATTAGGGTCTATGAAGCAAAAGACTAGAATTCAGATGATTGATTAGTAGTAGTAGTGCCCTTTCCCATGGTAGCAATGCTCTTCCTGACCGTCTCCGCCGAAAGTGAAGCTTTCCCCTTCTCATATCTATCAGTAGTGTAAAAGGGGATCCAATGGTCTTGACATATTCTAGTGATAAGAAATGGTTAAAGTAGCCGAGTTCTTTGTTTGGATTTCTTCTTAACAGCCACCTTAGAAGTAGTAGCAATGATAGACATCCAAGTATGACTTCAACATGATCAAAAGACTTACCCCTAGCAAGATAATACAACAAAATAACACCGTGAACGCTAAGTGCGTTGTAGACGGCATTGTGATATAGATCAAACTTGAGAAAGAGGTTTGAGGAGAATATGTTGGATTTATATCTAATATATGGGCTAATATTAAAAAAATGTGTATTATGTGCTGTCAATTAATGTTAGCCCATTATAGTGATCTAATTTAGGATTTGCGCTTTTAATGCATCATTAAAGTATGGACCTTCTATGCGTAAAGACCAAAATATAATTGTTAATTCTATAATGGGCTGAATTAATAATTATAAATAACTGATGTCAATTATAAAAAGGGTTATGGTTTGCTATATTTCTACGTTACAGTTTCTTTGAGATAATCCATCTTCAGAAAGTTACGGGGAAAGACAAAAAGTTTCTCTAAGGAGGATATACGTAGAAGATTTGGAAGATCTACATCTCAAAACTCAAGAATCACATCCTAATTCATGGATTCAAATATGATTCTGTATTTTCTTAATTATCCGAATAGTTTGACATGAACAATCTTGGGATTGAACAGGGTCTCATCTCTTAAAGCAAAAATTTTTTTAATCTAACAATTGGTTCTCTTAAAGCAAAAGTTTTTTTAAATCTAACAATTAGTATCAGAGCGGTGTTCACGTTAAACTATTGAGAATCAATTTCAATTTTGTGATGTGATTCTATTGTATGTTCTCAAATCTAACAATCCATCTTTTGAATTGTTTAATTTGAGAACAAAATTTTATAGTTCTTCCTCTTATATATTCAGGCATATATTGCCTTGAAGAATAATTCTAATCAATGTAAAATTATGGGGTAACACCGTTATGAAGGTTAAGTGCAAAAAAGTAAAATAATTTGGGAGTTTTTTGAAAGTTCCAAACTTATTGTGGATATAGTGAGAGCTGCAAAAACTTAGGGGTTTAATGCAAAACACCAGAACTTATTGGATAAATCTCCAAAATAACATATGCCTTGAAGGTGCTTTTGCTTATAAACCAAACGTCGTGCCCCCATTACTTTAACACGCGAGCGGTCCTATTTGTTCTTATAGACCAAAGTACAAAGTTTACTTATTTTTAAATCCAAAGTATATAATAATACAAAATACATAGCTGCATATAATAGGGTATACACTTACATAAAATAAGATGTATAGTTACATATTGTATGATGTATAGCTAAATACTTTAGGATGTATAACTATGTAGCTTATTTTAGATAAGGGGCTTTCCAATGTTAGTCCCTTAAATCATTAGTATGGGCATATTAGTTCTTCAAATCTTCATATTTTAATATTAAATTTCCAAATTTTGTAAATATGTTGATATTACTCCTTCTGGTTACTTGATGTTATTAATGTTAGGAATATGTTTAAGCTCTTGATACCCATGTTAGCTAGACTCGGTCATGGTGACCAAATCAACGTTTGTTTCTCTGTTGAGAGAAACGTGAGAACATGGAATGGTTTGTTGAGAGGAAATCTCTCATGGGGCGGAACTGAAGGGGGTGGAGATAGTGGGTTTAGCCCCTATAAAAGTAGGGTTAATCTCCTTCAGAATACACAACAACGAAGAAAGATAAAAACCTCTTACCCATTATCGGAGCCCCCTAAAAAATTCCATCGCTCTTCTCTGCTTTCAAGCACTGGTATCAGAGCCAGGTTGATCTCAACGCCGCCCTATAGAGCTCTGAATCAATCAACCACCTCGACCACTCTGCCGCGACGACGATCGATCGACGACGACTGCTGCAATCGGCGACGTCAACGACGAACTCGGTAGCAATCTGATCTCCGCTCGACAGTCTCGATTGCGACGGCGACAACGATTGACCTCGACGCCGAAGCTCCATCTCGGCGAGTTTTCTGATTTAGATCGAGGAAGACAGATAGATCCGCCGCCCCTTGCATTTTTCGGTCTTCGTCTTTGATCGAATCCCATCGGTCGCTTCCTGGCTACATCTAGTAGCGATCTCAAGAGCCCTAAGCGTCAGATCTCTTGATTTAGCCCAGTTTTTTATCTGCCCTCATACAATTCACGATAGCCCATTTCTCTTTTTTTTTTGTTGAATCAAAGCTAGGCCCAAATCACAACAGCCCATCCATTTTTTTTTATCAAAGCCAAACCCATCTCATTTTAAATCAAAGCTAGGCCCAAATCCCTCTATCCTCGTTCTTTTGAATCCAGCAGAGCCATAAAAAAAATCACTTTAGCCCCTTGCAATTCAATATTCTGTTTTCAATCAATTGGGATTTTGTCCGAACAATTCTTCGCCAATTCTATCCGGCGCAACTCAACAACAACAACAGATTATCTCCGGATCCAGTCAGAAACGACGCCGAATCTTCGACAAGTGCTGATCCAATCAACACCGTTGAGTGAAAATCTCGCTCGAATTGGAACTTCTTTCATCAACTCGGAACAATCAGGTTTTTTTTATTTATTTATTATCTAACTTTATTTTTATTTTTTTATAATTGTCAAAATATCAACCTTATACATATTTAAAATTGAATTTAGTTTTAGTTCTTTACCGAATGGCTAGTAAACTCGTTCTATCAGAACTAGGCAAAATTGACAAATTTAATGGCAGTAATTATGATATGTGGCATAGAAAAATAGGATATGCTCTTATTCATGACAACATTGATGATATAATCGAAACCACTGCTCCAACCCTTACTGATAAATCTATACCTGAAGAAAAGAAAGTGTTTGAACAGTGGAAGTCGAAAGATAAAAAGGCGAAAAGTCTTATGCTCATGTTCATGGAAGATAACTTAATCAAAGTTTTTGAAACTTATAAGACTTCCATGGACATGTGGAATGCAATAAAAGAAAAATACGATACTGCTTCTGAAGTTAACATCCAACTACTCTTGCATAAGTATAATTCTTGTCGTATGCAAGAGGGAGACAATGTCGTAGAGCATATAAATAAAATGATTGTCATGGCTAAGGACTTATCCACTGCTGGGACCGAAATCCCGGAAAGAATGCAAGTGGCAACCATTTTGAATAGTCTTCCACCTTCACTTGCTGTGGCTGCCACCACATTAAGAATGAATCATGCCATTAAGTCTGTCACTGATCTTCCTATGCACCTAACGATAGAACACTAGGCATATCGCAAAGGACAAGAATGGAGTCGTAGAATTCACCGAGCTGAAGAAAGGAGAACAGAGAATCTATATGGGAAATAATACCTATCTCGATGTAGAAGGTATTGGTTCGTATAGATTGGATCTTGGGGACAGTATTCTTGTCCTCAAAGATGTGTTCTATGCGCCAGGAATTCGACGCAATCTGATCTCTGTTCCCAGCTTGATGAAGAAAGGACTGGAAGTAAGGTTCTATAATAACATAGTTTCTATAGGCAAGAATAATGAAGTGTATGCTATGGGTAAATATGTGCCCGAGCATGAATTATGCATTCTTCCAGTAGTTTGTAATAATTCTGATAATAAAATTTCGAATTTGAACTACTTGTCCTGTTATATTTCTGAATCTGAATTGTGGCATTCTAGACTAGGACATGCTAGTATTTCAAAAATGAAAGAAATTATCAGAATGAACTTGCTTCCTGCACTATCTAATGTTCAATTGTCACCATGTGAACATTGTTTAACTGGTAAAATGACTAGAAAACCTTTTGTTGGCGGACATAGAGCCAATGAACTTTTAGGGTTGATACACTCGGATATTTGTGGTCCCCTAAGTGTCAAAACTCATAGTAATAAAGAATATTTTATTACTTTTATAGATGATTATTCCAAGTTTGCACACGTCTATCTTATATCCAGAAAATTAGAAGCTTTTGACTGCTTTAAGAGATATAAGACAGAAGTTGAAAATCAACTTGGATTGAAAATCAAAATTCTGAGAACTGATAGAGGTGGAGAATATAATTCTAAAGAATTTGAAAGTTATTGTATTCAGCATGGAATTAAAAGGCATACAACAATGCCGTATACGCCACAACAGAATGGTGTTGCTGAAAGAAAAAACAGAACATTATTAAATGTAGTTAGATGCATGTTGTCTCATTCTGGTCTCTCTAAAAACTTTTGGGGAGAAGCATTGTTAACTGCAAACTACATTTTAAATAGAATTCCCACCAAATCAGTTATATCTACACCTTATGAATTATGGAATGGGAGGAAACCTAATTTGAGTCATCTCAGGAAGTGGGGATCTATAGCTCATGTTCTCATTCCATGTCAACTTAGAGATAAGTTGGATTTTAAAACAATAAAGTGTAGATTCATAGGGTATTCAGAAAAGTCAAAAGGTTATAAGTTCTACAATAAAGAAAAAGGAGTCATTGAAAGCAGAGATGCTACATTTCTAGAGAATCTAGAGGAAGAGGAACAAGTTCAAGAGGAAACAGAACCTCTAACTGTAATAGATGATGATTATTACAGTGTTGTTCCCACTAATGACCCTGATATTGTGAATGAACCTAACCTTGAAAATGATGAAATACCTATGGAAAATAATGTACCTAATCAACCGGTTGTAGGCAACAAAAGGCCAAGAACACAACCTTCATGGATGGATGATTACTATTTATATTCATGTGAGAAAAGGCAAAGAACACAACCTTCATGGATGGATGATTACTATTTGTATTCATGTGAGTCATCCTGTTTTTCGGTAGATACAAATATAGAAGAACAAGATCCCTTAACCTTTTCTGATGCGATGAAATCGCATGAATCAACTTCATGGCTGGAATCTATGAGAGAAGAACTTGATTCCATAGAAAAGAATAAGGTATGGGAGTTATGTGATCTACCAGAAAATAGAAAAGCCATAGGATGCAAATGGGTGCTCAAAAGGAAATATCGTGTTGATGGATCTATTGATAAATTCAAAGCACGGTTAGTTGCCAAAGGTTATAACCAGAAGGCAGGAATAGATTTTCAGGAGACGTATTCTCCTGTAGCTAAATTTGCATCCATTAGAATTATTTTGGCTATTGTTGCATATCTTGATTTGGAGTTATTCCAAATGGATGTTAAAACTGCATTCCTTAACGGAGAGTTGAAGGAAGCAATATATATGCAACAACCTGAAGGTTTTCAGGTGAAAGAACAGGAACATAAAGTTTACAAATTAATGAAATCTCTATATGGTTTAAAACAGTCTTCTAGACAATGGTATCTCAAATTTCATGATGCAGTTACAAAACTTGGTTTTATTCAAAATAAATTAGATAATTGTGTATATGTCTTGAAAAGTGGGAGCAAGTTTATCATATTATCCTTATATGTGGATGATATATTGCTCGCTGGAAATGACATAGAAATGTTGAATAAAACCAAGGCAGATCTCAGTGAAAAGTTTGAGATGAAAGACATGGGAGATGCATCATATATTCTTGGAATTCAAATAATTCGAGATAGAAAGTCTAGAATGCTAAGTTTAAACCAAGAAAAATATTTAAGATCAATTCTTAAAAGGTTTGGAATGGAGAATTCCAATCTGACACCAACTCCGTTGGTTATGGGAAAGAGATTATGTAAAGAGCAAAGCCCTGGAGAAGGGCAGAAGCCATTAGATATTCCTTATGCTCAAGCAATTGGAAGCTTGATGTATGCAATGTTGTGCACCAGACCTGATATAGCTTATGCTGTGAGTCTAGTCAGTAGATATCAAAGTAATCCAGGACCAGCACATTGGGAAGCTGTTAAAAGGATTATGAAGTATATCAGAGGTACATTGACTCATAGATTAGTTTATCAAGCTGATTCGCTTGAACTTCTCGGTTATTCCGATGCTGATTTCGGAGGTGATAAAGATGATGAAAAGTCTACTTCGGGACACTTATTTATCTTTGGAGGAGGAGCTGTTTCTTAGAGTAGCAAGAAACAAGGGTGTGTTGCTAGATATACTCAAGAAGCTGAATATATAGCTTGTAGTATGGCAACTACACATGCTGTCTGGATAAGACGGTTTTTGATTGATCTTGATCTCAATTTGTTAGAGGGACCTATTGATATTTATTGTGATAATCAAGCGGCAATTAGCTTAATCAATAGTGGCGCGAATAGCTCCAAAAGAAAACATATTGAGATCCAGTATCACTATATTCGAGATATTGTAGAAAAAAGAGAAGTCAAAGTGACTTATATCCCTACTACAGATATGATTGCTGATCCTTTAACAAAAGGAATACCAGCAGAATCTTTTATCAAACATGTAAGTTTGATGGGACTTAGGAATAAATAAGTCCAAGTAAAATTTCATGAATAATAAAATAAAAGTTACTCTCTACGGATAGTGGGAGTAATGGTAAGCAGAAACATCCGATCTCACGGATAGTGGGAGGCATGTCACTTGGTTAATTTGGTCAAGTGGGAGATGTTAGCTAGACTCGGTCATGGTGACCAAATCAACGTTTGTTTCTCTGTTGAGAGAAACGTGGGAACGTGGAATGGTTTGTTGAGAGGAAATCTCTCATGGGGCGGAACTGAAGGGGGTGGAGATAGTGGGTTTAGCCCCTATAAAAGGAGGGTTAATCTCCTTCAGAATACACAACAACGAAGAAAGATAAAAACCTCTTACCCATTATCGGAGCCCCCTCAAAAATTCCATCGCTCTTCTCTGCTTTCAAGCAACCCATACCAACATACCCGTTAAATTTAAGAAATATGTTTAAGCTCTTGAATCATGAT